GGGGAGTGGGGACCGCCTGCAGGTGGCCATAGTGATGCCAACGGCAAGGGCGGGCCGTGTGGGGACCTCCCACAGGCAGCCATGGTGATGTCAGCAGCAAAGTTGGGCTGGACAGGGACTGCCTGCAGGAGGCTGCAGCAGTGTTGTTAGCGAGGAGGGGGGTGGTTAGTAGCAACTGTCTGCATATGCCGGCAGCAGCACTGGCAGCAGCTAATCGCAGGGGGGACACGTGCCCCCTTCTGCCCCACCCCCACGCATCGCCTATGGGTGATATAATAACAATTATATGATTCATTTTTATTTAAAAAATAAAGAACTTCATAAAGTTATAATGTATGTTTAGCTTTTGATGTTAGTGCTTAAATATATTATCTGTATGAAGTGGCAAATAGCATCGCATGCATCATTATAGTGCCTAATTATCTCCTTCTATCCCATGCAAGTGCATGCTGTGCTGCTTTTATTTATTACCTTTCTTTTAGCATGGACATCTACGTAACCTATCCATTTTTTATATCAGCTGTAGGCTGAAATTTTGACTTGTTTTATGCCAGTGAAATCCCCCTGAAACCAGGTTTTGACTCTAAGACTTCTTGTAGTGAATTCCACAAGGAAAATCTTCCATGCTTATCTGCCATTTCTTTTGCTAGACAGAGGCATGAGCTAAAGACTACTGTACTGATGTCAAGAGGGAGACTCCCATTCACTTCAATAAGATCTGAATCCTGCCATGAGTGCTTTACTAACCATCTAATGCACAAACAATGGTGTCATAAACCCATTTGTGGGGGTACCTCCAGGCCATATCTACACAAGACTCTGACTGCACAGTAGGAGACTGGAGGACAGGGGCTCCCCGACATGTGAGCTGGGCCAATTGCAGAAGGGGCAGGGCAGGCCTCCAAGGCAAGAGCTCCAGGAGGCATTTGAGGATGCGACTGTGTACTTCACAAGGAAGGAGTGGGAGCTGCTGGAAGATGAAGACGAGGTGCTTTACCAGGACCAGATGCTGAAGAATTACAACACCCTCATTTCCCTGGGTAAATTGCTGGTTCTTGCTTCTCCCTGGAGTAGTTTAA